GTATTTCCTTATTAAGGTACTCTTTAAGGAAGGGTTTAAACTACTAGAGGGCTTATCCCTTAAGGAAGGTAGATATATAGATAACCTTTTTAGTTTTATTCTTAAAGTTACTATAATAGAAATTCTAATAGTTCTTAACTTAAATAAGGAATCCCTTAAGCTATCCTAGGGATCTATTAAAAGGATTAGGAGAGTTAAATTAAAGCTTCTCTTATCCTTCTATAATAGGGGTAGTAATAATATTAGTAGCAGCTTAAAGAGTATAGTTCTACTATTTAAGTTCCTAAGTATACTAGTTAGATAGGTATATAGTAGCTTAAAGTTCTTTAGTAGTATAGGCGTTAGTATTAAATATTTCCTATATCTATTAGATATTATAGTTAGCTTATTTAAGCTATTCCTTAAGTATATTATTATTATTATTATTACTATTATCTTTTATTCTCTAATCCCTAAGTTCTTAAGTAAGGTTCTTCTTAATAGGGGCCTTCCTAGCGCCAGAGGAGGATCTAGTGCTAGGGGTCTTTCTAGAGAGTTATAAAGATATTATAATACTATTAGTAGTTTTTAAAGGGTAACTTACTAAATAGGAGTAATTAAAGTATTATAGCTAACTAACTAATAGTAGGGTTTATATTAATAGTAAGTTAAGTAATAATAATAGTAATAGTTATTTATTATTCTATAGGTCTAATTAAGTAATTATAGGTCTTTAAAGGGCTTAGTAATTAGTTAAGTCCTTAATAAGAGTTATAGAGTAATTATTACTTAGGTATAGCTAAAAGTCTTAAGTAAGAATTATAAGTTAATTACTAAAGAGCTATAGAAGTTTGTCCTTAAGCGGACTTAAGTCCATCCTATATATAGGTCCTAGGTAGTCCTATTGCTAGGTGCCATACATGCCCTATACGGTTCCTGTATCCTTGGCATACGGCTTCCATCTTTCTGGAATACGGATGCCGTATCTTAATCATATAGATCTAATCTCTTATCTTATCGTCACGTAACCTATACTATAGTTCTTCCGTTCCTAAGGGATCCTTATGTGTTCCTGTGATCCTATATATAAATGTGTTGTTATAACCGCCCAGTATCCTAGTGGGGCGTCCTTTATTGGTTATGCCTAATGGGCTGTAATAAGATACCTAAAGTAAATAAAATAATATCTATAACTATAACTTTATAACCTAGCTTATTCCTAATACTAAACCTCCTTTTCCTTCCTAGCCGCCTAAACCTCCTTTTCCTAGCCTAAACCTCTTTTTCCTAGCCCTAACCCCACCCTACTAGGGCCGTTCACACCCACTACTATTATTTTTAGGTTTATTTAGTTATTAATTTTCTTAAGATTAAAGTATTATTATTATAATAATATATAATTTAATTAAGATTATAACTAACTAAGTACTAAAAAAGCTTAAGTCTAGCTTAATAGTAATATATATAGACTTAAAGTATAAGATTTAAATCTTAAGTAGTTTAATTAAGAGAATCCCTTTAGCTTTATAAAATTAAGAATATAGAACCTTTTATTAATAACTTTATTATTAATACTTTATCTTCTATAGGGTTAAATTATAATATATTAGGGAGTTTAAGATATAACCCCTAATTAGGCTAATTAGAGGGCGCTATTTATTTAAGCTAATTTCTAATATATTTATTTAATAATAAGTTTTCTTAATATCTTAATACAAATGTTTCCTCTTAAGGTAGCCCTAGCTACTGCTCCCTAGTATATATAAATTATATTTTATTATACTAAAGAGATATAATTAAACTTTAATATTCTTTATATTATAAATATAATAATTATTATTAATAAGTTTAATTACTTTTATTTAATATAAAATATTTTATAAAATAATTTTATCTTAATATCTTTATCTTTAGTATATAAATTCTATATACTCTCCTATTTATAGATAATAATATAGTTAAGAATCCCTATAACGTTTTTAAAGTCTCAGCCTTAGTGGTGTATCTGTTGTGGAGTCTGACCTAGCGTGCGGATTGGTGCGGTACAAACTAACGGAAATCCGGGGAAGGTGACAGCGAACTTCCTCCGTATGAGGAGTGGCCTGTCCAGTCTAGTATTAATAGCTCAGTAGTCCCCGCAGATTGAAATGAAACGTCTCAAGAAAGAAGTCGACTGACAAGGCCAGACAGCTGAATATCTTACGTTGGCAATATGCTGTTTAGGTGGTCATTGGGTCTCCTAGGCGCTCTGTCTGTGGCAACGCCTTCTTTAGCGTTTGAGAATCCAATTAGAGACCCAGCTCCTGATCCATCACTTGTGTTTGCCGGCGGCAAATACCATCTGTGAGTATCTTTTACCTTGTGAAGCATTTGAAGTTGGGTGTCTTGGCTTACACTTGGAAAAAGCACCTTTACCTCATATAACAAGATCACTATTGTCCGCTCGAATACACTAAGCGGTCTTCGCAATGGCGAGCAAAAGACGATCTGGACGGACGGGAACTCAACTCGCAGTGCCAACATGTGGGCACCTGAACTTCATCGGATTGATGGTGTCTGGCACATGTTTTACTCCAGTTGTGACAAGAGTCTCCCGTGCTGCGACAGCTGCTCCACGCGTGTTCTCCGAGGCTGCGAAGCCGCTGGCCCCTACGATTGCGACTTTGAGCATCTAGCGGACTTGATTCCGCCTGAGGGATCGCGAGGAGGCCTTGACAATAACTTCGCATTTAGCATTGACGGCACCTTTCTCGAAGTCCCCAGCTTCGGAAGATACCATGTCCTCAGCATCAGAGACAACGACTTCAACCAAGCTCTAGCTATCACTCAGCTGGACACTGAGAAGTGGACAGTTGGCGCCTGGCATGTTATTTCTATCCCTGACCAGCCTTGGGAGAGGAATATTACTGGCGCCAACCCGCCTCCTCAAAATGATTTGGTTGGCGTTAATGAGGCACCCCACGTAAGCGTTGTCGTCTAGATTTGGTCCTTGACCGCACTGACAGTCGTAGCCTTTGTATCACGGTGAGGACATCTGGCTGTGCTACTCCGCTTCCAACTGTGCCACGCCCAACTACTCGCTGGGTCTCCTTCATTGGAACGGTGGCGACCCTCTCCTGAAAAGCTCTTGGGATAAGACGGGGCCGGTATTTTTCCAGGCGAATGGGCTTTATGGTACTGCTCACAACTCGTTCTTTTCTTCGCCCGATGGAACCGAGATTTGGGTAAGTTTCTGCCCAGAGCTACGCTATAAGAATTGTCTCTAATGTGCTCAATAGAACGCTTTCCATGCCACAAAGACAGCGTCTGGATCATGTGGTGGAGACAGATTTACGTCGGCACAGATTGTCACATTTGATGAGAATAACGTGCCAAACTTTGGAACACCGCAGCCGTTAGGCAAGACACTTATACCACCGAGCGGAGAGCAGGAGTAGAAGATATTTGTATTGCAACTCAGGCTGTGCAAATTGGGCCACTAGTCGATGTAATTATCTGCGAGTTTCCCAAAATCTACTGGCTTGGCCACCTGCATCTCGCGTTTTCCAAGGTCGGATGTAGTGGACACAATGTTCCCATCCCGGATGTCTTCTGACACGACATGCAGACCCCCAACTTCTGCACCCAACAGATTACCCTTGTCACACCAATGGCTCTCACCTCTCGGCTACCACTGCCAACGAAACCTCGCACTAATTTCCTTACTGGATCAAAATCATGAGGCGGTACAACATCGTTTCGAGACATACAAGAAACCGCAGTTCACCGTGTAACTAGTGCAACGTCCTGAGACATGCACAATGCAGCAAACAGAATGCCTGCCACTTGACCTGCGTGTCTGACCTAGTACGGCGTTGAAATCTGGATATAAGTGGTTATTTAAACAGCAGGCATTCCAGATTCTGCGTTCACTTGGTTCAATCCCAGCGACACTACCATTTAAATTCACATTCATCACCGCCCCATTGCTATTCGCACTTGTCTTTACTTCTCCATCCGTTGCTCAATTAGAGTCATGACCCAAATGGATCTTGGAGAGTCTATTCCGTCTCATACAGCTCATGTAAGTCTGAAGGAAGACGGACTCACCAATACGTCTGATCATTTGCTAACTCCTTCTCTCCAGGCGGTCAGCGTTTCTCTGCCTACTTGGGATTCCAATGTTGGTTGGGCAAAGGGCGAAGTCCGGATAGTTTCCAAAATGGTTACTGGCTATCCAAGATTCTTCATCCACAAAAGTGTCCATAAGTTTGCGCACGCCGTTTCTTCAGCCTTTGCCCACAAACTAGACCTGCAGGCCATGCTGTTTCCGAGCGACGTTGCCGCCGAGGCGTGCGTCGACTTCCTGCGCAAAAATGCTCCGTTCGACACTCTGGAAGGCCTGAACATCATTCATTTAGTCTGCGACAACTCGAAGCTGGATGACAGGGCTGCAGAGCTCTTATCACCGACCATTTCCGGCGTTCTTTTTCAATCCAACGTTTTCAAAGTTGCGAAGCAGTTCTGGCAGCATAGTGGAAGCGGCATTTCCAGCAGAAGAGCAGAGTTTTGTCATTATCTGTTCAGTGAAGGCATCCTTGTTCCCAAGTTTCCTTTGAAGATCTTTCAAAGAATCCCCCAGACAGACTTCAGAGGATGTGAAGTCGCTTCTTCATCTCTTGCTCTGGTGGCAACTGCCGCTTCTCCAGAGAAACGAGCTGACAATGGTCCCGGATGGAACTTCCAAGGCTGCAGAGACATTTCCCAACAGCTTGGCGATGCAATGCATGTTCTCTCCGCAGAGAAGCAAAAGAAGATCATACGAAAACGCATTGCGGACATCGTAAGCAACAGCATGTCAAGGAACCAAGGATACATATCACAGGCACACCTCGACTGTTGGACAGCCTGTTCTATTGCAGAACAAGACGTTTACCTGTTTCCCACGGGAATGTGTGCGATCTTCAACATTCACAGTTTTCTTCTAAGCGCCCGCGGGAGCTTAAAGAGCATCAGCTTCGGCTTCCCTTACGTAGATACGCTTAAGGTTCTTCAAAAGTTCGGCCCTGGTTGTGTCTTTTTTGGAAAAGCCTCTGAAGAAGACTTGGACCATCTTCAAACCCTTCTCGAGTCTGGAGAGCGCTTTTTAGGGCTCTTTTGCGAGTTCCCGGGCAACCCCCTGCTTATATGCCCGAATCTCAAACGCATTCGGTCACTTGCAGATGAGTATAACTTCGCCGTAGTTGTTGACGATACAATTGGCACTTTCGGCAACGTTAACGTTCTGAAATATGCGGATGTTGTCGTCAGTAGCTTAACAAAGTTTTTCTCTGGCAAGTGCAATGTCATGGGAGGGTCAGCTATCTTAAATCCAAGAAGCCCATACTATTCTGTTCTCAAGGATACAGCAGGACGAGAATACATGGATACTTGGTGGCCTGAAGACGCCTTGGTCATGGAGAGAAACAGCCGCGACTTTCTCTGGCGCATCCCCCGTATGAACCATAACGCCGAGGCTATTGCAGAGCTGTTGCAAGATCATCCCTTTGTTCGAAAGGTATACTACCCAAAGCACGGCACTGATAGGGCAAACTATGACGACTGTAAGGTTCCATCGGGTGGTTATGGTGCCTTGTTGTCTGCAGTCTTCCATCGAGAGCAAGACGCTGTTACGTTTTATGACTATCTGGATACATGCAAAGGACCCAGCCTGGGGACAAACTTCACCTTGTCGTCTCCATACGTCGTGCTTGCTCATCTTGCCGAATTGGAGTGGGCGACGAGCTTAGGCGTCGATCCGACCCTTGTTCGATTCAGTATTGGAGTTGAGGATTTAGATGACTTGAAGAGAATCTTCGTACGGGCGCTACAGGCGGTTGAAAAGCAGTCGACTTACAACTCCGCGGCAATGGGAATTTAAGTCAGAGTAAAGTGACCACTTTCTGATAGTTGACGGTTGGTATGTTGCTTCTTGTTTCCTAGTTCAGCGCTATCATTCACACAGAATCTCATCACAGAGTATTTTAGCGAATATGTGAAGGGAATTGAGATTAAGAAGCTGCATCTCGGTACATGCAAGGGTTTGGCTGTGCCTCTACAGACTATGAACTTCAACACAACGGTTCCTTGAGATCTTAGCCTTAACTGTGCCTTTGCACCTTCTGCCACCTTCTGCCACCTTCTGCGAACAGTGTTATAAAACAACTGCTTAAGAATATTCCATATCAACCCCTTCAGCTTCAACGTTTTGGACACTGTTAACGCCGCAGCCCCCGACACAGTCCTTCTGCAAAATCACAATACATTATTAGTTATATTGACTTGGGGAAATGATACTTGAAGGTCCCGGTGAAGGCTCACCGTTAAGGTGCTCTGTGATGTGTCAATTGATGTTTTCCCCCAGTAGAGTCATGAGTTTCTAATGATATTTCACGTACCGTCTTATCGGCCATCGAGATAGTCGGAGCAGCAGCAGCTAAGCCAGCGAGAACAGCCGTCAGGACAGTGAAGTAGTGCATTTTGGCTTGTTTGGGGGTAGATTTGTCGTTAAATTTCCGATGATGAAGGCTTTGTCAGCTTGAGTGGTTTTAAAGGCTCAGTGCTGGATGCGAAGGATGATGAGACTATTTAAGATTTTTGTTCCTGAAGTTTTCATGTCTAACAAGGGGTGGACTTCGTAGACTTGGAGCCCGGATCAAAACGAACCCTGTATGTTGCTGCTCACTTCGGGGATGCATGTTTCAGAGAACCCATGGAATTTGACAATTTAGCTGGTGTCCTTCGCCAGTACCCACTTGTCCCAGGCAACAGTGAACTCGTTCTTCCTCCGACCATACCAGTCTCAATATTCAATCAACAAAACGCCCCTGGATCAACATCAGTGTTGCCATATCCGCATCATCGGAGACAGTTGGCAGGCCTGGCGATCCGAAAGACGAGGGCCATATATACAGCGCAAGACGTGAATCTAAGGAGAGACCGAGAGAAGATGCTCCGTGGTACCATCGCTGCTGTAAACCCTTGGAACCGAGTGATCACTCGTAACCCAAGCGACATGAGGCCCCTTAACAAATGTCACAGGGAAATTAGAAGAAGCGAAAGTGATGATGGAGATCGATATCGTGGCTCGGGCTGCGTATTTGAGCCAATCGGATAATATCCGTCAAATGGATTAGTCCGCTGGATCATCGGAGGGGAACAATATTGTTGCGAGGCCCTGCTGTGCGGAACGGCCTTGCAATCACGCACGTGGAACCTGCCGAGCTCTGACCTTGCTGCAACATGCACTGGATGCTTGATACGTCTAAATCTTCGACGTTTGTCTTGTCAGATTGAACCATGTCCGTACGTTCCCTCGTTGTCGGAGGCACTGGCGGCATTGGCCTCGCAATTGCCTGTCGGCTGGCTGCCGTGCCGACCTCAACTGTCATCATCAGCGGCCGCAACGAACCAAAGGACATAAGTCACTCCAACATCAGTTTCAGATCTCTGGACGCGTCTTCCATGCGTGCCATTAAGGAATACGCCAAAGAATTCATCTCTACTCAGGATGATCGGCTGGACTTTCTTGTTCTCACCCAAGGCATCCTGACAATGGCGGGAAGAACCGAGACACCCGAAGGAATTGACCGCAAGATGGCACTTCACTACTATGGCAGACAGCTGCTCATTCGCGAGCTCGATTCCATCTTGAAAGATGATGCCAAGATCCTCATCGTTCTCGACGGTATTCGCGGCAGCCCAAGCAAGTTGATTTGGGATGATTTGGCCCTTAAAACGAACTTCAGCTTAGCCAACGCCGCCAACCACTGCCTGTCAATGACCGACGCCATGATTCAGAGATACTCGAAGAAGAATAAGGGAACAAAACGGTGTTTCATTCATGCCTACCCAGGCCTTGTCCGAACAAACCTTTTCCAGACACTCCCCTGGTACTTGAGGGCTGGTACTCAAATTCTGTCCAGCGTGATGGGTGTTCCGGCCGATACCTGTGCACAGAACCTTCTCAATGGCGTAAACGAAGTCTCTGCCAGGGCCGAGAAGGATGGCAAGTTTTGGGCTTGTATTGGTCAAGATGGTAAAATGGTTACGACGAAGGCTGCATGGAATGATTTTGATCTCGAGAGAGTCGAAACCCATACCTGGGAAACCATTGATGAGGCCATCTCTCAATCTGGCAGTATGGACAAGAATTGAGTCTTGTGGGAGAGGTCTGATGGGCGAGTCGCAGGCTTGCTTGGGATGGCGGCTAAATAGCCAACCCCACGGTTTTGAAGCAACTGGTTGAGAAGGAAGGTGGTTTGCTCGCATGTATGCTATGTTTAGTTCCTGTCTCAGGATTATAATGTCACCATACACTTGGAATAGATGCCCACCTGAATGGTGTGAACATCCGTCCCTATCAATCTATACCAGACTTGTGAATGCTCGGTCGCCATTGCTTCGACATAGTGATGCCGGGTAGTTTTGTTCACCCAGCCCTTCGTCGTACAGGTCATTCTTGGTTAAGGGGGCTGGATCATATCAACTCAATTTATGGTCTGGGTGTGGCTAAGTGCCCTTGGAAAAGGCAATTCTGGCATGACGGCTAACCCAGCGTATCCATCCCCTCGTTTCCGAGACTTAAAAGAACTCATCAGGAAAGTCTTCAGGCCGCATTTCCTGCGCCTATGAAAGCGTTCGTGCAATCCCTGGCACTTAACCTCCTCTGAGCCAGCACAGAGATGCATCAGTGCGTCCATCAATTGTCCCTACCGGTTGACGTCTGCCCAAGTCGCAGTCCTACTGGATCATTCAAGATAGCTACTGGTTCCCGTTGAGAGGAAGACACGCCAATTCACTTGCTATCAGGAACATTTCAATTGATCACTTTGCCGCAGATCACAGCCAGTTGATACTTGCTACTTATCATCCTCCTTCTGTTCAGGGGGGCTCAACATCCACCACGCCATGACGCCGAGCCCAGCTGCAACAGAGAGGCCTGCGGCGATCGCACCGGCGGGTGCGGCACTTATCGATGAATACCAGCTCTGAGCAGATTCGGAATGTTCGGCGAGTGCTTCCACGTCTTCGTCAAGAATGACCTGACGCTGATTGGGCTCGGGGCGTCTTTTGGGCTGCGTGTCTGATTCTGGCTCAGGATCCGGGAACCATACCTGGCCTGCAGCCATGCATGCTGCACGCCTTGTACGATAGTCCTTAAAGTACGATCAGCACATGTCCATGAGGCAGTTAGAGCTTCCTTACCTCTAGACATTCCATCACGTCTCCAACGACATGGTGGGCCGTTTGTGGATCGATTCCTTGGGAGATAAGGGATCCAAAAATGTGATTTGGGTGCAGAGAGTGCAGCTCAGCACCATTCCATAAGAAGACGAAGGCCTCGGGCCCGTTTAAAAGGTCGACGTTGCGGTTCTTGAGATGCTGAAGAAGCCATTGTCGCACTCTCGATGCAGATGCATACTCGCTTGGCACGACGGTTTTAAGGGCCCGCAAGTGAAGGCTGGATCCGGTTCCAACGTTCGTCATAGTGATCTTGTAGTGTGGTATATGCTTCAAGTTACTGCTCTAGATCAAAAGATTTGGTTGATTACTTCGCTGTTGTCGCATGCTGAGGTGTTTTATCGAGCTTGGGCAAAATATGACGAATCTTCTGTGCCCAAGGCCAACGTGTACTGTGGATATTCAAAACCCAGAGGGTGATGACTGACACGGCGCAGTTGCTGGGATTAGTTACTGAAGCGAGTTTCTCATTGGCATTAGTCGGGCAAAGGCACTTCACCGCTATGTTGCAATGAACCTCTCACATTCTCTACCGCCAGGCTAACTCCACCTTCACGCATTTACTTTACGAGTTGCAGTCAGGGGCGTCCACAACCGTGGCGGCATCGAGTTTTCAAACGAGGATCGGTTAGTAATCAAGCGTTTAGAATCATAGAATCCAATTCAACTTAACCAAGAACACAGCCATTGCAGTTGTCAATCGCAACTATATCCCGTTCAATTCGAGGACACTCTGTTATGCTAAAAATGCCGCCGTTTGAAATCTCGATGCATCGTTCTCTTGAGTCCACGGACCGCGTGAGAGGAAATTCAATAAGAATTCATGTCCAGTGCAAGGATGCTTTCAGCCAGTGAGAGCGATGCGGGTGTGTCGTAGTCGATTCGCGTGGGTTGCTCGATTCGCGGCCTAGGTTATAACCGACGAGAACCGATCGTATGGCCAGCTATCATTAACCTGCAGTTCAAATCCATCATGCTGAACAGCACAACTACTATTCCCAGTAGTGGAATTCTTTACAGCTTCCACAATTTCCTTTCTGACGCAGGTTGCCACTATTTCGTTGTTATTGTATTTTTCGTGAGGTGTCAGACTTTTGTTTCTCAGTGGGAAGATGTCACTGCGGTTTTTAAGAACTGGCTCGACAGCGGGTGATTGAAGATTACTTACATGAGCTTGAGAGTGGCATCGTACTCAGCCTTTCTCCGATCCAGTGTGTTTACATAGAATTCGCCGATGACTCGGAACTTCTCGTTGCAGGAATCCTTCAACTGCTCGTAATCCGCTTGGCATGCCATCAATGTCCGATAAAGAATAAGGCTTTGTTTGTCCCTCTCGTCCTTTTCTTGTGCCATTTTCTGTTCCAGCAGCGCCCATTTCTTTTCCATCTCATCCCCCAATACCTGTGTCGTGCTGACCAGGGCTTGATCATAACCTTTTATCCTGGCACGAAAGACCGCATTATCAGTTTCCATCCGCCCAAAACTGCGGCCGAGGTTGTCTATTTGGGCCTGAGATTGCGTGGCTGTGGCCTTTGCCAACTTAACTTCCTGATGCAAAAGTGCGATCTTCGCGATTTGCTGCTCATTTGCCGCCTCCAGATGAAGTATTCTTTGGTTCTTCTCTCCGATCTCTGTACGCAGAGCTTCCAGTACTGGTATTGTAGTATCGTTCGGGGGCGGTGTGCTCCGGTTGTTTGCCCTGTTTGTGACATCCTGAGAAATGTTTCCAGCCTCCCCCGTAGACAACGTGCTCCTGGTCGACCCATTCGCCACAGGCCCGCTTGATGGTTGGTCATGCTTGCGTTTCTCCAGTACTTGAATTCTCCGGCCGTAATCATCGACTTGGACTTGCAACAACTCGTTCGTGAACTTCAAATCTTCCATCTTCTGGTCATAATCCTCAGTTTCCAACTTCGACGCGCGCACATATTCCCGCGTATCTGCGAACCTTCTGACATCCGTTGACGTTTCATTCGACTCTGCGTATGCAAAAGTGCCTGCCGCATGACGCGTGAAATTGCCACTCACGGAGTTGGTGGTATCCAGGCAACACGGAGCCGGAGAGTCTTTGCAATCACCCGCCGGAAATCTTTCAACTGGCGTTGTTATTATTTCCGACCTGTCTGAGACAATTTTCTTGCATCCAGCTTCGTCGTCGTGACGCCGTGTCTCATCGTCTGACTCATATTCGTCACCGGTATCTGTTTCAATGAGGCGACGTTCCTCGCTCTTAAACTCCCCTAGCTGCAAGGCGCTTGTTGCTGTATGAGAGTCGGAAGTACTTGAGTTCGGAGTTGCAGATATTGTGTAATGATCTGGGGCACTGCTATCGTGACGTCCATCCCCAATGCCGTTGTTTTGGGGTTCGTCGATGTCACTGTCGCCCCCAAGCGTGTAAAGCGAATCGAGTGAGTCTGAATCCGAGTCATTTCGGAAGCGCCGAGTTCTTTTAGTGTTGACCGCTGTCTGCTCAGATTCGAGCCAACTCGATCTCCGCTTCCTCCCACGCTTAGATGAAGTCAATCGTTTTCCGGCTGGTGGGAGTTTGTCCAACCCTAGCTGTTGTCTCGGAACACCCCACTTGTCGCAATAATCGCAGATAAGCTGGGGGTTTGATTCATCAATCTCTCGGGCGTCTTCAATAGTTGCATCCTCTTCCGAGTAGCCAACCCATTGGACAAGCACCCCACCATCGGCGATTACATCTGTAATCTTGAGGTGAACTTCATCGTCATCACTGATGTCGAGAATTTCTTTCCGAGTCTTTCCTGTTGTAGATCCTAGAGATTTCCAGTAATCAACAACTTTTCTCTCGTTGTGACTTTGAGCCACAGATTCGAATATGGACCGTCTTCTTGTCGTGTTCCCGTAGGCGATTTCGAATACTAATCTGTGGTTGGGTTTCTCGTGCTCTCGTGACTGGTGGCCAATGACGGTTCCAGCATCAAAGTCTGCAAGATACCCAGTGAGTACTATGTCTTTAGAAGTCCGTAGAATCTTACCTTTGAGAAGCTGATAGTATTTATCCCCGAAGAGGTCGCTAGAAGTATCCTCTAGGCTTGGGTCTTCCTCATAATCCATTCCGTTCAAGTGATATTAAGGGCTGAGAACCGTGCGGTACGTATGAGTAACCCCCATTGCGTTGGGATTAGCAACGCAGTTCTTAGTATTTGTGTTCTGGATTCGTTGTTGGCCGCACCTTGTATTCGTTGAGATGGTGGGTTTCGATTCTTGAATTCTCTTACATGGTTAGATGTGCCTTGCTTGACGGATGTGACTTGGTCGCTTACACGAGAATCAAGCTTCCATGGGGTGCTTCTTCATTATTTGTATGAGAAGATGGGCCTCCTGGTCTTAAGGGAGCTTGGTCTATGCATCACGTCAGGCCGCCGGGGGCAGAGCGATTCTACTTTTGCGAGAAGGTTTTGAAAAACAAAGCTTGAGACTATTACATTTCAAATTTGGAACACGCAAGCCAAAGGATAATAGTTTTGCTGTCCGCTGTCCAATCGTTGTACTGACTTCCCTTGCCCTTTGCCACCCAGCTTCGCAGACCACAGGTGCCCCAATGCGTGAAGATCTATTATACTTCATGTGGCCCTTGGAGTCAAATGTGATTTTTACCGACAGCGTGACTGTCGCTGAGTCGCTGCGTGGTGGTGTGAGATCGTCTAGATAAGGCTTCACCTTGCAGCGCGAACCAATCGAGAAGCCGGGGTAGCTGGGGTTGAGTTGGAGAACAGGCGCTGGCTCAAAGCCGTGGGTAACAAGCACAAGTCACCGCCATCGTACCTAGGCAGAACGAGGAGGTGACGCTACACGGATGTCGGGGATGAAGGGGAATAGCCACCATGCTCGAAGATGAGAAGGAAGTAGTAGACCCTACCCTGCGTGTGGCCCGCTTTCAGTCGGGGAGAAGCGTTGGTCAACGAGAAGGCACTCGATGGAAAGTCCCGATGTATTCGTTTTCTACCGGGACAACATGCACTGCAATACCGTCCGTCATCCGACATCGTTGATGTCCTCGGTCTAGACGTTTACGCACGGAAAACCCGCCATCAAAAGATTAGGAGCGATGTCGATTGCTGATAAAGGGGAAATATTAACCAGTTCCAAGTGCGGGTGGGCGCGGTAGGAATCAGACATGATTAGAGGATAAACAAATTATTCTATAAAACCTAGGTAAGAGCCGGAAAGTAACACCTGCCGAGGTCGAGGTGGCCGGGTGTGGGTAAGTTGTCCGGACAGCGGGACGGGAAGGTGTGGTCGGTTCACGTCCGGGCCGTAGCTGCCCTATAAATTAGCAGTTGCTGCTGCACCTGTCGGCCGTTACCGCGTCTGGTCGCTCCTTTACAATCTAACAGCGCGTATTATGTCGTCAACACTATTTAAAGCCAACAAAGTCTAAGGTATTAAAAGCAGTCTGAATTTTTAGCGACGTTTGTTTCCAGCAGCGCATGCTGATAGGGCTAGGGCTTGGGCTTTTCGTGAAACTTGGTCCTAAGAGTAGCAAAGAAGCTGGGCGGTTCCATTAGCGGCAACTGCCCAGCGCCAGGCCTTCACAGCGTCTAAACGCTCGACCTTCTCGACGAGGGAATCAACACTCACGCTCAATTCTTCCATTTCCAACCGTGCCAAGAAGCGGTCATCATGGCTGAGCGAGGCCGGCCAACAACTGCTGAACGCCGCACACATCTCGTGTCCAAGATCAATCGGGCTTGGTCAACGGAAAATGCACCGGTCTTCCCGCAGGAATACGATGTGAGCCTGGAGGACCTCAGTATCAGCGCCTTACAACTCCTGGCTACTCTGACCGACCTGGTTGTCTCGCGAAAGGGATCGCTCGCCGCCTTATAGGATCAGCCGCATGGTTTCCTCTTCGCTGCCGTCAAACACAATATCGACAACGACCTCCGCCTTGGCCCGAAGTGCTTTCGGATCGCGAAAGACGCCTACGACAATGCATCAGCCCAGTCAGCAACTTCGACCCAGGCTTCACCCCCCGCTACGGACCTCCCACCCCAGCAACGGCGAGATGTCAGCCCTGACGAAGCGTGTGAGGAACTTTGCGCTCAGCCGAGAAGGTGTATCTCTCGGAATACCATGCGTCGACTTTGTGGAAACTTCCGAGTACGACAAGACAGCCCCGAGGCCATCTTACTCCCGGTATCGCTCGCCGACGGTGGTCTCGACACCAGACCTGACATCACCGGCTTACCCGCCAGCAAGCACATCTTCTGCATCCCTCTTCAACACACCTTGGGATACTGGACTCTCGGCATTTTCCAGCCAGACAAGCATTTTCTTCTCCACTACGATCCTTCCGAATATGATCCTCTCTTGGAAGATGTCGTCAACTGCGTGGCCAAGTGGTCTTTGTCCGCTGTAGTGAAAAGCCAGGTTCGTAGGTACTCCACCAAATGCAAGAGTACCCTACTGACTGGAAAACTCAGCCCTGCCCTCACTCGCCCGATCCTCTCAGCACAGGTCTTTATGTCGCTGCCTTCATGCAGTCCTTCATCCGACAGAAAGATATTCCCCAGGTCGTCGATGAGACTATTGAGCGCAGACAGCTTTCCGACCTTTTATCGACCGACCAGTCTTTACGGCGAGAAGAGGCATCAGAGTCAAACATCACACAAGCGTGTCTTTCGCCATCCACTGCAGAACTCTCTACGCCAAGTACTCGGAGAAGGCGCCGCAGTACCAGCCATGAGGAGATGGGAGTCAAACGAGCCAAGATCTCGGAATCTGACCGGCATCCTAACCGCATCTTCACCACGTCTGAGGCGGTGGCTACCTCGTCCAGCTTGATGGATCTGCTGTCATCGCACAGTCCCAGTCAGGACTTTACGCCCATGGGCAAGTACAAGACGCAAGTCATCAAGACAGCCCGTTTTTTCCTACAAGAGCTCTCTCGACTCGAGACAGCAGAGAACTATGAGAATAGTCTCAAAAGACGGATCAACCCGGAATCTAAAGCATCTTCAGAGGACAGCTCGGAGTATTCTGCTGAACTCTGCGGGCTTCTGTTAGAGCGACAAGCTTTGGAGAACGAATGCAACCGGCGGAGGGGGGCGATGGCCAAAGTGTTTAAGAAGCTGGATACAAAGTCTCACCAGATCGACGCCAATCAGCAGCGACTCGCTCCCTCCTGTTTCGACCTTTGACTTCCTGCAGAAAAGGTTGATCAACGAAGACATTGGCAAAGGTGACGGCGGGCGGGTATGGTAGCAAATTTTCGGGCAGGTCAATGGCGATAAAGCCTAGGATTGCTTTGGGTTTATCCCGTGAAGAAGATAGATAGTCAATCCGATAGAGAGTATTTAGCTTAGACTGGGAAACGTCACCAGCGCTACCTAGCGAACCTTTATTTAGGTATGAGCATAAGGGAAAAGGCTGGATGCATGGGCATCTTTCATAGAAAACATCGAGTTACTTCTGCGTGCCTTTTACTTAACTTCAATCTGGGTAAGGACTACTTAGCATTTAGTTGCTACATAACGTTTGACACCACCCAGCAAAGATGGACTCCTTTGATTACGCAGAGTTGGCGAACTATAATCAAAATGCGGTCAAATATGAATTTTCTTTACGACGTCTTAGGTCCTCGCCGTAATATTTCAAATCTGTTGATCCGTTTATGCCAACTCAAGCCTGAGTGCATCATACTGAACGTAGAGGGCATCCGGCAAAAGAGCCGTCTCTATACTGCTGGCATTGAACGGCAAACTCAAAACAACCTCATTCCGGCCTTCTCTCAGCACGGATGACGGAAAGCTGAACTTGTTCTGGATGTTCTGGCACGCGACGGCGCTCCTGACGCCACATGACCCGCTGCGCCAGTATGGAATCTCCCATGTCGACTCGTAGGCCCCGTTGACTGCCATAGTCCAAGGCAGATTGCTGTAGGGGTGTCCGGAAACCGTCCATTTGGCGTTACCGTTAGCGGTTTTGGTGCCCGCAATCTGCACCGTAAATGTTCCCGTTTGACTTTGACTCAACTGATTCTTGTCGAGGTCAAAGATGATGGTCCAGTTGTTGACGTTGGCGTAGTGGTTTTCTGCCCGCAGGTGGTTCCCTTTTGCAGGGAAAAACGACCAGTGGATGTAGTTGAGATCTTCTGCCTCCTGACTATTTCCCACACGGAATTGTACGCCTTCGGGAAAGTCTTGCTGAAAATCGTACTTGCCCCAATAAACCCGATACTGTTCGGGCTGTAAAGGCTTGGAGACGTCAGGCGCATATCCGTGAAGGTATTCACCCGCCGACTTATCGGGGACACCTATGCGCCAAATTTCTTTCCCGGCACTTTCCTCAGTCCACTTGAAGTTCCATTGACTTTGGCGGCTGGACGTTTGTGATATCTCGACGTCGTTTTGGATGTACCATCCGAATATCCCATCCGCGTAAATCGTAACTCTGTAAGTCCCATCTGCCACACGGGGAATCTTGAACTTTCCGCACCCATTGATCTCCGCCCAATACTGTAGAGATTTGTAGTTAAAAACGTTGAGTTGGAAATCTTGCTTGTTCTCAGACAAGACTATAATGGGTCGCCTAGCCCCCTCAGGTAGATCAACCTTGCCTTCAAACGTTACCCGACGAGAAGATGGGACATAGTTCGGGATGAATTGAGAAATACTGTCGTAGAAGCCTGCATTCCACTCTGGGTCCGCGTGCCGAGCAGCGTCAGCTCTTAGTTCCTCGATTGTGCCTCCCGCTGGTCCCTTGTTGAAGTAGTAGAACTGAGGACCGAATGTGCGATCAAACCCATGGGTGATGTTTGGCATAGGGGCGCCATGATGACCTGAAACCATGTAATTATAGACAATGCCATCAACAACCAGATCCGAATGAAGAGGACCGCCATAGTAGGTTTCCCTTGTGTTATGGACAAGCCAAGCACCAAAGGTACTTCCATCGACGCTGGTCGAGCCGTCGCTGAATTGCCCATGAACGTCGTGATTGCGCCATGACTCGGACAGGGTGTACTTTGTGAAGTAGTCCGAGTACTGCTGTGTGTACGGATCACTAGTGACATCTCCCACGTACGTCGTGGCATCCTGGACTGTCAAAGCCTTGGAAAAGGTGTCTGCAAGAGGCAGAGGACCCAAGTTGCCGTCGCTTGTTGAGAAATGAGTCCAAAGGGGTGTGTTTGGTCTGAAGAGAGTTCTGAGCTCGCCCAGATCTCGCAAGCGAGGTAGGGTAGTATTGAAGTAAGTGAGACGGGAAAACGCGTGAAGACCTGTTTCCTCGCCCCGGAGAAAGAAGTACTGCGAGAGGGTCTGATTCGTTTGTGCGAATCTATCGGACATGATGAGGCCCCCGTAGGGTGTGCCGGAGGAGTCCGTGCCGTTCACGAGTCGCAGCTCGGCCGTTCCGCCCGGCGTCCAAAAGCCCGAGGGAGTGCATGAGCAATCGAGGTAAGGACCTTTTCCTCGGTTACCATCTAAGGGTCCAAGAAGGTCCTGGCCGTCGAGAGTGACGTCGACGATATGGCCGCTTGACCTAGCCAGAATCACTGAGAGCCGGTCATTTGAAAGCGTAAGATGGGTTGCGTTCTCTCCAGTCGTCAGAAAAGCCGTTGAATGACTTAGAAACGTCGTCAAGAGAGCGAGGCTTCTGTTCCAAATGACCCTCATTCTCTCAAAGTCGGTTGGGGAACTTGATGTAAAATCTCCTGAAACCAAAACAGTTCCACTGAGGAGCGTGAACGAAAAATGTCACTCAGGTTACCATGACCATCCCATTGGAAACAAAACGTCGTGTTATAAAGCCACCACGTGAATAGAGGGCGGACGCAAGGCATGTGAACTTTTCCGTTCATCGGAACAATGGCCAGCAGCGCGCTCTGAGATACCCCGCGAAGCGATGTGGAATAATCTCGGGGTAGGTGCATAGCGAGCGCCAAGCCGGGACTGCTTGGCCTAGAAATGAGGGCACCAATCCCAAGATATGTTCTCCCAACTTCTCTGGATCTTTTGGGTAGCTGATTTAAGTCTCGGGTTAGTCTAACCTTTGCTGTGCGCTTACATCTACCGTTTCCTTTGGACCGGGTGTACTTCAAGCGCATGTCGGTATGCATGTAGTCGCGATTGTGCTCAGTGTCGTACTGCTTTCCATAACTATTGACAGCTTGCAGAATGTCGCTTGTCAATGACTAAGCACGCACAGTGAGAGCTGGGCGATATGTGTCTAGTTTTAATAATTTCTTATTGGAGCAAGCTTTGTTATGTTCCCCTATTCTAAGGTCTCTTCTATATCCTCACTCTAGGTTACCCTCATTCTTCCTACAAGCCTTATAAATTATCTTATTATCCCTTATCTCATTTCAAGATCTAAAATAATCCACCTTATATACATACTCTTAAATCACAACTCTGCTGAGTATAAACCTTACTAAGCTCAAATATAACTAGTTCCCTTATCTTTAGCAGAAAGTACGTTTCCACGTTCTTAGTAACGTAGGAAGACTAACGAAATATTACAAATAACAGATTTGCTAATATATAAATTATCTCACCTGAGCAAAGCTGAGCTGCTGAAAGTAATATAAACACCCATGAATCCCAAATATTAAGCTGCTTCCTGTCAAATCCAGAGTCCACTAGACCCTCTGTTGCTACCTAAAATACATATCATGGGAAGCTCAATGTTTCTGCAACGTGACTGTTGTTTAAGCCTGGTTGTTTGCTACTATGGACAACACCACTTCAGTTGAACGTGTCTTTGACAGCAAGTTCACTACACGCTTTTCAGACACTGGGGCTTTCTCAAGTCATATACGGAAAGAGCAAGAAGGTTCTTTCCTTACAATCTCTCGCTTAGGGGGTCTTGACGCGCTCTGAGGGCGAAAAATAAAAATAAATTGGAGGCGCACGGTCAGAGGGTTTGCGAAATGAACTTTGCCTCCATCATAACCTTTTCACTTGCAAAGCTGCAACAAAACCCCCCAACTACGCCGCCATCGGCCATGGCTTCCATGAGCACAAGCTCCATTTCGGAGCTATATCAATCTTACAAGGAGGCAACAAAGTGTTTCTTAACGTGGCTCTGGTGCCAGTACCGACTTGAGGCATCCCGCGACGACACCGGCGACAACAAGTTCAGATCTACAGCGGATATTCTCAGAGCAGCGAAGATCTTCAGACAATCCAAAGCTGCCGTCCCACGCTCCGTCTTGAGTTTTCTTCGGAAGGCAATAGAACAACGAAAACTCGTGGCGAACGTTTACCACCAGCTCGATGCCGGTGATCATGGACACAATGGGTTCATCAGCAGGTAAATACATTGGGTCTCTTGAATGGGAAGGAACTGACTGGGACAGGCTTGAAGAGGTTCTCGCAATACTTACGCCGCTCTTGGAAAAGATGCCGGTTTCTTCAAACGATGCCCCGCTCTTGGAAAAGATGCCGGTTTCTTCAAACGATGCGCTCGAGGAGATTGTGCCTTTGAACACTTTTTCTCATTTATCGATCATGGACACCGACTCCAATGACCAGGAAAGCTCGACTCCAGGCTCCCACGAGCACCGGTCACCTTTACAATCATCTGAAACTACAAGCTCATCCGGCACACCCACGGTGCCATCCGACTTTTGGCTCGAAGATGACTACATACGCGAAGTGTTTGATGCTGCTTACTTCCTCATTGTGAGACTCGCTCTCTTCTCTATTGTCGTGGAAGGCCTCAGCTAACCCAAAGCCAGGAGCTGGACAGCGTGCACTCGCAAATCAAGAATTGCTGGACAGACGCTGCTCGAGGCAACATCCCGCTGCCATTGGCTGCTTGGATGACAAACCTCGCCATATACACTATCGCCAGAGACTTGCCTCCAAAGTTTGTGCATGTCTGCGTTAATACTTTCATCAATCCGGAGTTCGTGTGCGAGTTCTTCTCCAAGCTTTCCAACAAAGTCGATCCAGCGATGTTCATCTCAGACGCGCGTCGCTTTTTGATGCTCGCCGAGGCGATCAATGACTACGGCGAAACTCTTTCCGGTACACCGAAATCCACCGTCACGGGCAGGAACTTTCTTTGTGACCGCCCCAACTGCGCTTGCAAGTTCAAAACCTCATATGGTTTCAGGTCCCATCGGAATTTCGAAGAACAGGAACTGTCATTGTCATGTTCCGAGTCCGAGAGGTCCAACATTCGCACTATCTTCGACGTTGTGCGCGACGACCTTGGAGCAACACGAGCAATCAGTTTGCTAGAAGCTACGAAACCGTTGAAGTGCGGATGTTTCACGCCGATATGCGAATCTTTCTTCTTCGTTGCTAGAGATTTTCTTTCTCAGAGTGTTCCCCTTGCCTCAGCTAGGCTTGTAGTGGCACTGAACATATTCTTCTTGACGGATGAGTCGATTCTAGTTTCGGATGCAAAGATCAAGCGAAGCGAGTACCGTCTACAGGCACTCCGTCTGGCCTTCGAAATTCGATCCAGTATTCTCCCAGTCATGGACGCCGTCAGAGCAATGGCACCAAACTGTGAGAGGGCCCAGTACTGGCATCGCGAGCTTCAGGAGTTGCTGGATGGCGTGAACGCCTATGTTTCTCAAAAGAAGTTTGACATTTACCACACGTCGCCGTGGACAGCTGGCAGTCATATGATGGAATTGCTCACGGCAGCTTTCACGTTCGGCTTTCGCATCAATTCAGACTGGGCCGTGATTTCCGCTACCTTACATCTGTACAACGCCATGCACCGCTCCGTTGCCGACACTCCGAGAATACCAGTCTTGGACGAACTCTCTGAGGTTCTCACTGAGAGCATCTTTGGGGGGAGCTTGCCCGAGCGAAACTTCTGCTCAACATTTCGTCGCATCGTGTATCAGAGCAAGATTGACAACAGCACAACTTCACCTGGCGGAGGGAAAGTCTTCCGCCTACAGGCTGGGATGATGCGGCTTCCACAGCTTCTGCACATTGATTGTTCTCTGATTGACCAACACTTTGGCAACCACAATAACTGCGAATTCTTCCAAGGAGAGGTCCTGGGTATTCGTCATCAGCCAGGTTTGGGACAAAGGTCTTCCCGCAAGATTAAAGAAACCCGAGCCAAACTCAGTACTTCCGAATACATGGAAAAGGCCAAGGCCAGGGGGCTTCAAGATCTTGAAGGACCTAAACCCTTTGCTCGCATCAACCTTTTCGCAGTATTCACATTGTGCAGTACGTTTCTGAACAGATTCGGCAGTCTTGGAAGGCAGCATATACCAACGGACAAGTTCGAATCATCATATGCTCGAAATCAACTGAAGAACGACCTTGTCGTCGGCCGTTGCGAAGCAGAAATGTTGATGCAGTCTATCGACGAGTCCTCAATTGGCAGACAAGGCAGACGCCATCTAGCTCGAATGTCCGCCACCCGTAACGCTATTCTGGCTTACAATGAGATGGAATCAGGAGCCACTTTGAAGCAGTATCTGTGGGAGTTCTAACTTCGGCAGCATCTCCAAGTCAATCGGGCTTTCCAATGAATGGCAAGAGAGAGAACAAGGGCTTTGGATCATTTGGAGTCCAGCCTATCATTTTAAGCTAGGAGTCACAGGCCTAAGGAAGTGTAGGCCCGTTTTAGACCGGGTTCTTAGGGTTTCTCAAGCAGACAGTACATATAGAAATGAGCAAGGAAAGTATATTTTTCAGACTCAGCAGTCGTGCAAATGAGCAGAGATGGATAATGATATAATAAGTAGATAGCTTCTGTGATTTTGAAGTTGATTGTGAAGATAACTATTGTTTTGAGGCAGCCCGAGAAATAGAGTTGACTGGAGTGAGTGACTCAGGCCTCGAGTAAGCGAAATGTTTGTCTATTGATATATACATGTTGCAAACGCCTGGGGCCAACTATTTCTTAAGAACACAGTTGTGAGGGTTTCCAGTGCCGTCGGAATTAAGCTTGCCGCCAATGGCACAAAACTTGAGGTCCTTGGTGTAGTACACCCGCATTGGCCCGGGTCCGTTGTTGGCACCCTTCTTCGACTTGTAATCATATGGCTTCCCGTTCGCAAGCACGGGAAGCTCCCAAATATCCTTACCACAGCCACTTGCAAACTTCATCACGTTGCCCTTATTATCAAATGGTTTGGGGTATCCACTGCCGCCAGTATTGGTCTTGGCATCGCGGAAGAAACCAATAGCCTTGTCCTGTCCAATTTCCCCGTAAAGCCCACCGTTGTTGTTGGCACCGGCTTTACAAATGTATACCTAGTGTTCAAGCATCAGGTCAGCACTGGTTGTTTCCGATCGTACATCGTCTTAGGTGAATTGCTCGTACCTGGCCGGCTCGCGTCTGAAGGGAGAAATCCCCATCCGGGTTGGGCATTGGACTGGCCACCGTGGCCGTAGCGGCGAGGAGGCCGAGAATGAATGTAGATTGAAGCATCTTTTTGACTCGGGTTTCGTGAACTCGATGAATGGCTAGATGGAAAATGGGATGTGGTTGTGACTTGAATGATTCGGTAACTTGTCAAGAGATGAAGCCTGGGCTATATACCGTAACGAAGCAGCTGCTTGGACCGCGTGAAAGCCACATTCCTTGACCCAAACCCAATATCGGGATATTTGGAACTCTGCGTACAGAGTCTTTTGGCAGCCAGACCCAGGACACTGTTCTAACACGGGGAGGGCGAGTCGAAGGAATGGTCTGTAGGAGGCTAGGCTGTATGTTAGATTTCTTAGTGTAGCCTGATCCATCAGTTATGCTCTATGCCCATTGTCCCACGGTCACAGTACGTGTAAAGACGAGCATTGGATGCATTCGGCACGTCGTCTGGGGCGGCCAGTTTCGAACATGTCCGAATTGATAATTGGCTTGGCTAAAGAGGGCTAGCTCGCACGGCAGAGTAATGCCGAGTGCTAACACCAGGCTGAATCGCCCCAAAGCATTGATCGACAGCGGGGAGCTGGATCGCACGTCAGATTTCCCGTCTAGCCTGCTGCGGAGGGAGGGCTATGCTGTAGCCTGCTCCGCCCTGGCCTAGATTCTTCTTGCAACCGCGACCAATCCGGATCAAAGTACACGTGGGATTAGAAGGAGGCTTACATAACGCCACCATATCAAAGGACCACACATTTTACCTTCAACGGTTCAATCTCTTCGATGCCACAGTGTGGATTTGCGCGCTTTTAGCGAGGCAGATCAAATCTTCAGACCTTAGAGAAGGACCGCTGAGAGGCGACAGCAGTAAGCGTTATAGACTACCTTAAATGTCTCACTCTGCAAGGGAATGAGGGTAGTATGGACACAGCTAGGAGGCTGTCTAGACACATTTGTGTAACGTAAGGTTAAGGGGCATCCGTCGGGAGGCGGGTCTTACCGGCGCGGGACGCCAGATAGACTGAACCTTCCCCAAGTTGCCTATCTATTTTTAGCCTTGGCTCGATGAACAGCCTCTCTCAGCGCCCGCAGTGCTTCACTTTTCGTTTTCCTTCAAGTTACCTACGTAGGCAACCGTTTTCCTGGCATTTCCACCTCGTCATGCTACGGATACCTAGGTTCACATGATACTACCCCCTCACATCTTTCCCACCCAAGACTACAATTGCCCAAATTCTTTTTTCATTCATCCACTTCAAAGTTTCAAAGACAATAATTCAATTTTCGTTATGTCTGGCGTTCAATTACAGATCACATATGACAATGCGCCGGCTTACGCTGGCAGCATTATCGACATCTTCAATTCGGCACTTCTGCCAACCGCCCAGACAACAGGCCCAATTACTTCACAAGAGGCAGCCACGGCACTCGACCACATATTCAGCGAGCAATATAGCAAAGATGGGAAGGCAGGCTCCTTCCTTTGGTGGTTTTGGGATCTTGTCCATGACCTCGCTTCGCAAGTCCCCCACGACAGTTCGGAACACGACCAGTTTACAGCAATTATCAAAGCCTTGCATGATCTTCCCCCTAAGGAAGTTGCACTTGGTGAGGAATGGGGAAGCAACGAATCGCAAGCTGTTCTCTTGTGGACAAACTTGCCGATGTTCGGCAATACGTTTCGCGAGAAACTCGACACTAGTAAAGAAACAAATCCTTTCTTACCGTCGTATAGTTGCCTGATAACTAACAAATGTCCAATTGAAGTTAGTCAACGGGCCACTGAGACCGAGAAGAAGCAAGAAGCCATCAACTTCCAAGCCTACGGCGCAAGAGTTGCAGGCCTCGGTCTTGTCCCTCTGGAAATGTATGCAATCTGGGCTCTTGTCGATGCGCTAGAAGGAACCATGAAGGCCGTACGAGGCGCACCGGATGAAATCGACCTCAACCCTTCTTCTGTAACGGAAATCTCTTTCAAAGTCAAGATCGCTGCGGTTTGGATGATACACGCGGGCCGTCTCATGTATGGGCGCGATGAAGAGGTGCATGGAGCTACAGATGGTCCTCTTTGGAAATTGGACAAGAAAGAGGCAATCAAGCTTCGTCGAAAGCTTCACGGAACAAATGGGCTCTGCCCTCAAAGATGGAAGTTATGGAAGGAGAGGTTCGCTGCCATCCGGGATGCGGAAGGTGTAGATGTTGGCGCTCGGCAGGATGCAGAGGTTGCGTTCGACATTATGAGTCAGATTGAACGGGAGCAGAAGTGAGTTACAGTGGAGTTGACTTGATGAGATTCGGGAATGACTACCTAGGGAAAGTACAGTGTATCACTATCGCAACAGAACGTGTACCTACTGCTCTTTCCGGCCTGGAATTTAGTAACTAGCGAACCGCTAAACGATATAGACATACATTAACAGAGTGGAAATGTTATGAGTCCCTCTGGAGAATGCGTGAGAAAGAGGCTTTTTTAAACAAAAAACAAGTAAATGATTCGTAAATGCAAAGTGGTATTAAACCTAAGCTACATACTAGCAAATGCAATACGCCGCGCAATATAATATAGCTACCCTTATAATCTAGTTAATATCTTATTATACTGTTACGACCCGTTAGGCACAACGCGTTGGAACAACCCCGCTTGGGATCTCGGCGGCTAACGCAGGACATATGTAAGCAGTGACACAGGTGTAACCAGGAATCCTCGGAAAGGAAGAACTATGGTACAGGTCACGTGACCTCGGGAACAGTACGGACACAGGATAAAGATGGATATGTTGGATATGAGCTATCCTAGCTATCCATGGATATGTTGGATATGAGCTATCCCAGCTATCTAACGTCAAAGGAACTATTTGGGACTTATATATAGGATGGACTTAAGCCTAGCTTAAGGACAGACTTCTATAGCTCTTTAGCAATCAACTTTATGACTACCCTCACTAGTACTTTTAGCTATACCTAAGTGATGACTACCCTATAACTCTTATTAAGGCCTTAACTGATTACTAAGACCTTTAAAGACCTATAATTACTTAAATAGCCCTATAGAATAACTTAATACTATTTATAGTTTTTAATCCCTAACTTACTACTAATATAAACCTACTATTAGTTAGCTAGCTATAATACTTTAATTGCTCCTATTTAGTAAGTTACCCTTTGAAAACTACTAATAGTATTATAATATCTTTATAACTCTCTAGAAAGACCCTTAGCATTAGATCCTCCTCTGGCGCTGGGAAGGCCCCCGTTAAGAAGAACCTTACTTAAGAACTTAGGGATTAGAGAATAAAAGATAATAGCGATAGTAATGATGATAATGCGCTTAAGGAACAGCTTAAATAAGCTAACTATAATATCTAATAGATATAGGAAATATTTAATGCTAATGCCTACGCTACTAAAGAACTTTAGGCTGCTATACGCCTATCTAACTAGCGTACTTAGGAACTTAAATAGTAGAACTATACTCTTTAAGCTACTACTAATATTATTACTACCCCTATTATAGAAGGATGAGAGAAGCTTTAACTTAACTCTCTTAATCCTTTTAATGGATCCCTAGGATAGCTTAAGGGATTCCTTATCTAAGTTAAGAACTATTAGAATTTCTATTATAGTAACTTTAAGAATAGAACTAAGAAGGTTATCTATATATCTACCTTCCTTAAGGGATAAGCCCTCTAATAGTTTAAACCCTTCCTTAAAGAGTACCTTAATAAGGAAATACTTAACTACTATTCTACTAAAGTTAGAGATATTTTTAGTAGCTTCTAGGGCTTTAAGTCCGCCCTAAAGTCTCTATTTTAAGACCCTAATGAGAAATAATAAGCTAAATAAGACTTACTTTGCCTTAGATAGACTAAGTTAGCTAAGGACTATACTATAGAGTTCTAATAGATCTACGCCTAGCTAGACTTAACTAATAAAGGTAAGATCTTTATATTCTATAATAACCTTAAGGATAAAGTTAAGGATAAAATTATTAAGGTTAATAGACCTAAGGACTTCCTCTAGTATACTAAGCTTACTATTAAGATTAATAACTAACTATATAAGTAACGTAAGGAGAAAAGCAAATAATAATAACCTGCTAACTCTAGCTATAAGTACTAATAGTAGCCTAGATACTATAATAACAATTAATATAACAAATATAATAGCACTGCCTATAGACACTATAGTAGACCTATAGATCTTAGTGCGGCCTAGCGTAATAATAATAATAAGGGTAATAGCTAGAAGAAGAATATTAAGTGCTATAACTGCAATAAGAATAGATACCTTATAAAAGAATATAGAGCACTTAAGAAAGAATGCTTCTAGCTAGTACCTAAGAAAAGATAAGTTAGTGCTACTACTAAGGTAATCCCTTATAAATAACTTAGTTAGACTACCTACTTTAATAATAACTATAGAGTTTACTTAGACTCTAAGGAATATATAGGATAGTACCCTAAGAACCCCAGTAGAATGGGATATAATACTACTAGAGTAAAGAATATTAGTAGACCCCTAAATTAATAAACTATTACTATAGGATATAGAAGCAATAGTAAACTTAAGCGTAAGGCTTAAGAATAACTTAATAGCCTCCTAGAATATAGGGCCCTTAAAGAAAATGGATAGTTTAAGACGTCTAAATATATTAGCCTTAAATAAGAACTAACCTATAACTTAGATAAGCCTTATAACGTTATATAATAATATGCTTAGATAGTAGCTATCTATAGGTATAAACCTAGTATTAATAATACTAGCTCTAAAGAGGACTCTAATGATGAAACTACTAGGGCTAGTAAACGCCTTTAGTACTAGAAAATTGATCCTATAAAGGATAAATAGACACTCAAATTCTTTAGCACCTCAGGAGAATAGCGTGATAGAAACTATAAACTAGAGTTTAGGCTAGATAACTACCTATATTTATATATAGAAAGTAACTACTACTAATACCTCTACTAGCTATAGTGCTTTTTTAATAACTATAAGGAATATCTTAGAGATAAGTATATATATTAATTCTACCCTAGAAGGTATAACTAAGAACCTATTAAGAAGGT